GCGCTGCTCACTGCCCGTGAGAAACTTACATGTGGGGACCCAGGGGCCTAGGAGGAAGGGGGCCCATCAACCCAGACTCACTGCCCCACCTGGGTACACACCTGGGGTCCTGAATCAGTACAGGCAGAGCTGTAGCTCCAGCGTCTCAGGAACAGGCTTTTCATTTTGATGTTGCTTCTCTTAGCACCCAGTCAGTCTTGGCTGCGGTTCCCTGAGGTTTGGATTTGGGCAGTGTGCAGGGGCAGGTTTAATTCTGATGCATTCCTCGCGAAGAGCGCAGTCCTTCAGGGTTTCAGGTTCAGTTGGGGTGAGTCTTCTGTGTGCTCCCCACTTTGGGCAGGACTTCCCCTGTCTTCTCTCTCTCTACCCCACCCAGAGGACACTGAACAGGTAGCTTATTGGCAGGTACAGGCAAATGCTCTCTGGACAAAAGGGCACCAGCCAATCAGAACGGACCTTGGCTGGTATGCCCAATCCAAGTGCAGCAGCCGAACATCAGCCCTGTTGCCATGCAGATTTTTCTTCCCAGTGAAAACGGACTAGATTACGTGGGCCAACCATCTTACTGCAAACAGTGAGAAATGCTGGATAACATACTCAAAGCCATCAGCTCAGGGATGCTGAAGTGCTGACAAGATGGTGGGGAAAGTTGCAGCACCCAGATACAAGCCCCTCAGCTCAGGGAGGTCGGGGCCATGCCCAGTAACACAGCTGCAGTCCTCAGGGAATAGGGACTGAAAAGTCACCAGTTTTGACCTAAGATGTGCAGTTACCCAGGAAGTGAAACGTGTCCAGACTGTCCGTGAGGAGAAAAACTGGCAAGCTGATGTGGCCACGCCCGCCTCTCAGTGCTGTGGGCTCCTAGAGGCAGAGACGGGCCTTGTGCATGCATCTCCAGCCCTGGATTCCAGCACAGGCTGGCACACAGCAGCCTGGGTATAGCCCACACTCTGGCCTGGTCCTCAGCATGTGCCGACTGCATGAGGTTGGGTGGCTGCTGACCAGGGCCCTTGGAAGAGGCTGTATCAGTTAGCTGTGTAACAAATAACCATTGAGGTTCCAGTCATTTGAAGCAACATTTTACTATTTCTACAGTCAGGGGCCCAGCCAGCTGCCCTGGCCTTACACTGTGCACCCGTAGCCAGTGAGGGCTAGCTGG